CAAGTTGCGTCCAAATTTGACATCAGAGATAAAATAATATATATATATATATATATATATATATATATATATATAGTTGTCCTTATTTCTATCAATATCCAGGTTTTCTAATTTAGTCTCTCCGTCAGCTCCCAATCATGCATGAATCATTTCCTCATCATAACATACTACGGAGTTACCAAGTCCTACTAGATATTTTGCCTGCCGTTCTAGTTTCTAAAACACTATTCCCTGTAACTTGGCTGGCTTCACAGCTCATTGTTTAACTTTGATTCCATATTCATGAGTTCAGGAAAAATAAAGATTGCTTTTTAGTTTAGTCTTCTTTCAGCTCTCATTCCTCTCGTATTTATGTTTCCCGAATGCTATCCGTTTTTGTCTATTTTTGTCACGGAGTTTCTTGATATTATTTTCACATGATTACTTGATTTCTTTAGTTCGATACTCTGAAACTTTTTACGGACACTTCCCTGCGATTACACTAAGTTCCTTATTGGCTTTTGGACGGTAAGTAGGGCGACTGACTTATTATTCACACCATACAATGTTTTCAAGGTAGCGAATAAATGTTTTGGATTGTGCCACCTGATAACACCTCAGTCCGCGTGCTTCTGCCGGTTTTCTCGGTAGCTATGCTTGAAAGTGCACCACCGATCAGCGATATATTCGTTCTGGATGAAACCAGCCGGTTTGCAAGATCGATCATATCTCTTATCAGGTTTTTCTTCGATACGATTTTGGTAACTGCTACCGATTTTGACTGCGACCATGTCTGATGGCGATCTTCCCCATTGGCTGTAAAATTTATTTTTCTGGGCCAACTGTTGTTGCTCAGGTGTTGATCAATTGTACAACGTAAGCAGTGGTCTATGCGTTTACTTGAGTTCCTGTATGACACATGTGTGGTCCGTCAATCGATCCGAGTTGTGCGGATTAGGCTTGTTCATGTTGTTCTTCTTGTGTTATTGCCTAGCAACTTTTGCTTTACCTCAACCCATCACACACGAAGACATGAGGCGAGTAGTTCCTTAAAAAAACTGTGGATTCAAAACCTGGTCAACTATCATTTGCTCCATATGGTACTGGACTCTGCTGCGTGGTGCCTTGATGTCTTAGAAATTACTCGTTGTTTGGTGTAATCTATCATGTGTCCAATTTTTCTGGTTTTGTGGTCATCTGGAACAAACATGCAAGAAAACTCGAACAGGATGCAGGATTAGATTGATGACGTTCTCTCCCCCAAATCAACCAGTTACCAACCGTTGTTCAATGCACACCGTGTTTTTTCTATGTAAGATGAATGTCATCAACACTGAGAAGTCGAGATGGCAGAAACAAGTCGCACTAACTTAGTCCTGGAGAATATCATAGTCGGTCGCTTTCGTAACCGTTTTATACCTGTAGCGAGAGCAATAGGCTTTTATCCTTGCACTGTTTGACTCTCCCGCAGCGTTAGTTGAAATCATTGTGTGTAACAGCGGGAGGGGGACGTAGACACAGTCTGTAAGTCCTTGTGAACATTCATTTTTAGGTGCATAAGACTTCTCTTGACTTCGCTTGATTAGAATTTGGCGGTAACCATCGTGAAAGCTCTCCTCTGTTGCTCTTTAATCTCTTCCATATGAAGAGTCACCACCTTGGAGCATTCTTGACGTAGGAATTGCAGGTATTTTCGTTGTTTTTTCCATTGAGACCTTCATGAGCTGCACAATTCAAGCGTTCATTTATCTAGGGATCAAAGTAAAGTAAGATTTGTGGACGAAAATTATGCAGACGACGTTGTTTTGTCGTTAGATGATCGTTGGTCTGCACATTCTGCTCTTGATAGGACGTTGGAAGTAGTCCTCGGTTTCTGCATGCTCTGTGAAATTCTTGTATGTTTTGTCTCGTTGTTCCTCATACAAATTCTTAGGTTAGAGGGTTTGGTTTACCGATCTGTTTACGTATCTTGGTAGCAAAAGAAGCTGTCACCGCGATAGGTGATGAAGTCACTGAGCACGTTATGATGTCTTGATCAATATTTGCCAACTTGTATCTTTATGGTTTCAGAAAAGAAGCCCACTTAATTTAAAGAGCAATGGATTCAAAGCAATCTCAGCCTAGCCCCTAAAATACCTCCAGACATTTAGTCGCCAGTGCCTTAGTAGAAGAGAATATTTAGCTGACTGTAGGGTGTGCGCCCTGAATTGGTGCGTTAGAAGTTGAAGAACCACCCCTAGGTTTCGTTCAGCTGTAGCACCCTTTCGGTACCTGACTGCCATGCCATCAGAAGGAAGCACGAGTGCTAGGATACTGCCAGGTTGCCCAAGTCTAGACAGGGGAAATCGAGAGGCAGAGGTCGGGTTCGAACCACCAACCCTCGTCTTGATGAAACGAGAGAAGTTCAATGAGTTTCACGACTATCTGAATGAAGTGAGTCCACACATCAAATTTAGTGTGGAGATAGAGTCAACCTCTGACACAGTACACAACTGGCACAGGTACACTGTCCTTTTTAAACTGTACGATAAATAAGGCCGGGGGACCAAAGACTACTGTGTATGAGAAGCCAACCGACACCGGAGCAGTTTTGAACTTCTTGTCTGCCTATCCGAAGTCGGTATTCGCCAGTGTTGCCTCATCAGTGTTTAGGCGTGTAACGGCCCTGTGCACAGACGAAGTGCCCAAATTGAAGTTAAGAAGAAAATTCGGGGTAGTGGATATCCGGCTAGGTTGATTAGGCGTCAGTTGCGAAGGGTGTTGGTACCGGTAGCGAAACCCAACAGGGAATGGATTAGGACTGCTATTATCCCGTATAAACCAGGGATATCGGAGGTCATTCGAAGGATTCTAAACACGGCTAACATAAGAGTAGCTTTTCAGAGGGGAAACACTGCACTTTGCATTGGTACAATTGAAAGGTCGCCTCCCAGGACACACGACCCGGGGCTGTGTCTACAAAATTTAGTGTAACGGATGCACTAAGGTCTATGTAGGACAAACAGCCAGGTAACTTCACACCAGAGTTGGAGAGAATAGGAGGAAAATAAGCAAGTCACCGAGAAACACAGATGAATATCAAGCGTCACTGAAACACTCGGCAGTTGCGGAGCACGCATGGCACACACCACATAAAATGGATTTAGAAACTATTGAGGTTTTGAGGTCCACGTCACAGAAACTGATGGCCGAGGCGGTAGAAATCGACAAGCATCACAGTGTTAACAAAATAGGAGTGGAACTGGCAGCCGTGTGAATGGTTTTGGACCAGTCGATCTGACGCGTGTTGGTGTGCGGTTATCAGGAGATGTAGTGATCATTTGAATTCTACTTCACCCATCTTCCCTCCCCCCCAACAAAATTGTCGCAGCACTCAACCCCATAAAGACCAACGGAATCTACTATTGGCGTTTTGGATTGTGCCACCTGATAACACCTCAGTCCGCGTGCTTCTGCCGGTTTTCTCGGTAGCTATGCTTGAAAGTGCACCACCGATCAGCGATATATTCGTTCTGGATGAAACCAGCCGGTTTGCAAGATCGATCATATCTCTTATCAGGTTTTTCTTCGATACGATTTTGGTAACTGCTACCGATTTTGACTGCGACCATGTCTGATGGCGATCTTCCCCATTGGCTGTAAAATTTATTTTTCTGGGCCAACTGTTGTTGCTCAGGTGTTGATCAATTGTACAACGTAAGCAGTGGTCTATGCGTTTACTTGAGTTCCTGTATGACACATGTGTGGTCCGTCAATCGATCCGAGTTGTGCGGATTAGGCTTGTTCATGTTGTTCTTCTTGTGTTATTGCCTAGCAACTTTTGCTTTACCTCAACCCATCACACACGAAGACATGAGGCGAGTAGTTCCTTAAAAAAACTGTGGATTCAAAACCTGGTCAACTATCATTTGCTCCATATGGTACTGGACTCTGCTGCGTGGTGCCTTGATGTCTTAGAAATTACTCGTTGTTTGGTGTAATCTATCATGTGTCCAATTTTTCTGGTTTTGTGGTCATCTGGAACAAACATGCAAGAAAACTCGAACAGGATGCAGGATTAGATTGATGACGTTCTCTCCCCCAAATCAACCAGTTACCAACCGTTGTTCA